TTGAGTTTAAATGTTCAGAATAATTAATATTTCCGTAATATCTTTATGAAAAAGAAAATGCTAACGTAAAATAGCTATTAAAAAGGAATTCAATTAAAAGCTTATATTCTTATGAGTCACCAATAAGCCAAACATTTCTGTAACTGATCCGCGCGGATCAGAAGTACCGGATTTTGTTTGGATCACCTTGATTTGACTAGAAAAGTGATTCAAACCGGATCAGGGAGAACATGATCTTACAAGGGGATCATGGAGAACATGATCTAAGCTTACTGTAGCTTCTACTTAGCAGGATTACGGTAACAGGGCTTTTAGAATTGATCACAAGGCTGAGATAGTCAAATAACATAAGCCAGATTCCCACTTTTTTTACACTGATTCCGATGCTGCTATCCATTTTTGAATCTTAAGGAAAACGCGAGGAATCTGGCACAGATGTTTAAGGCCAAATTACAGGTCAAAAATCCAATATAAGGCTTCTTTCTCCATCTCGAAATGTGAAACTTATCGTAACTTTACAATAAAGCAAATTCCAGAGGTTAAACATCAAAATAGAATGAAAAAAAAGCCAAGGAATCGAACCTGAGCAAAAAATTGCTAGCTTGTTTTAGAAACAAGACTCTTATCCACTACACCACATGGTCAAATACGAGAAAAAGAAGAGCGAGGAAAGAAGCCTTATCTAGGGACTTTCTAGGGATTTTTGGCTTCGAACTTTTTTGTCTTTTGACTTTTTGACTTCTAACTTTTCGAGCTTAAATTTGAGCAAGATTTCTCGCGTTTTCGAATCATTTTGCAAAAACGAATAACAGCAACAGAATCAACGCAAAATTCTGCGTCTTCTGATCATGTCGCTTGGTCATTTGACTTTTGTCTTTCCCTTGTTAGTACGCCTACCACAGCTTGTGAGCAATAAGCATAAACAATATTCCCAGCAGCAGCCACCACCGATGAAAGACTGTGTTGTTCTGAAGACTGAGCAGTGGAATAAGGAGGACGGACAAGATCCTGAATGTGATAGTTAATGGCAATTGAATGCTCAAATCCGTTTCACAAAATGCAATCAAAAGGAAAATTAGCTGTCCATACAGATAAGCACTGTAACTCTTATCTGAAAAACGGTATTGTCTTGGTTTTTACCTGGAAAACCATAGTCAACTTCTCACATTGAAACCGCGCGAGAAAAGCCTTTTAAGCGAGATGTTAAAGACTTTTATGCCGTGTATGGGCAGCTAATTTACAGCTATTTTTACAATATTTTGCTCAGTTTACAACAGTATTTTCGTGGTTTTGTAACCTGGAAAACCATAGTCAACACAAGCATCATCAAAATATTTCCGATTGTCGAAATCCATGAGATAATCTTGATATTTCTCAGCATCACCAAAAGACAGAGAAGAAAAAGAGTGATCAGAAAGAAATTCCACTCGGAAAGGGGATCACGTGGATAGAAACGGTTCCAGATCTGAATCATTGAGTCTAGAATTGAGTCTGTGTACTTTGTGCTTAGACTTTGTGCTCTTGGCGCACTGCTCTGCACTTGGCACATCAATTTATTGCACAAAATGGTGTTCCATTTGTCAGCGAAAAGGACAAAGCAAAAAGGACATGAGGAAAAAGCCAAAAACAGAGCCAAGCTCTTGTCTCACCTCTTCAAAATGCTCCTTAATGAAAACCGTGTACACAGCCGTGACACCCATTTGCATCAAGAGAATTGAAATATTTGCAAAATAACTAAAAAGGAAATTTGGGAAAGATCAAAGAAAGGTATTTCATACCGAAAAACTGGGCCAAAACGTCGAATTGAGTGAAAGCTGTGAGCGAATGATTTCTCAGCAACATTCCCGTAGTCAAGCGAAGTATAACCATGCCTAAGAAAAGGATTTATATTTCGATAAAGCTATATGATAGTGAAAAAGCCATTCTATGTTCTATATTCTATATCGGCAATATCGTATTTCAAAGTCTCCACCTCTGAGCCAGCGCCAATGCTGAGACAACCATCTTGTCGCAGCTCAAATACGTGAAAAAGTAGCCACCGAAGAAAACGAGGAAAATCCCCATCTGAAAAGTTTTTCTTCAACTATTCGTTTCGTTAAAAACAAAAAAGTAGAATCATTTGCGAGGTGAGGAGTCGAACCTAGGCAAGTTCCCGTCGCCGGTTTTGTATACCAACACCTTATCCGCTAAGCCACCGACACACAACGACGCTGGGCCAGAAAAGCCTTTTAAGCGAGATGTTGAAAACTTCTACACCGAATTTTTAGCTAATTTTTACAGCATTGTGATGAGCTTAGTTCTATAACTTCTCCTTGGGCGGCTGGTGATCGGCAGTGGCAAGCTGGGGTACTTCCCTTGTGACCTGACACTACTGCCTATCTGGCACTTCCTACTGTCGACCTGACATGACCTACTGACCTTACTACTAATCTATCTTACTACCTACGCCAGAATCCAGGCCTAAACCTGGCTTCTGACCTTGTCTTGCTTGTCCTGACTTGTAAACCTTATAACCAAGTGTTTTTAACCAATGATTGACTTAAAAACTTTACTGCTAACCATATGAATCTATTTTCTGACCTGATTATGTTCTGGACTCGGCATTTTGATCAGAATAGATTCTATGGCATTCTAGAACTTTTCCGATGCGTTCTCATTTCTAACTGTGTAGATTTTCAGATAATTCTAGCTTTCAAAGACTCAATTTCTATACAATTCTTTGCTGCGGTTGAGCTTGATGTTGATGGAATTGCTGATTTTAACTCACAATTGATCCACTTTGTTTGAAAGCGAGTGGAAGAGCCAGAACACCGGTTCCCACAAGAACTCGACAAAAATTCATCAATGCTTGATTTCCCCTAAAATAATCTGTGATAAAAGGATAAGAAAAGATTCTTTTATGTGCTTTATTTAGAGTTTTCGGTAAAGGTAAAGGTAAAAGTAAAAGTTTTGTTTAAAACATTAGAACCTTTCACTCAGTCGTTTGTTTGTTCAACTATTAAACTGTTCAACTGTTCAACTGTTCAACTGTTCAACTGTTCAACTGTTCAACTGTTCAACTGTTGCAGTCACATTCAGTCATTTAAAACCCACGATATCCCAGTTCTCCACCCGACTTGAGAAGTTTTTCGTTGAGCTGTTTCATCATCAAAGTTGAATGAGATTTTCCCGCCATTTTCCATCTCAAAAAAGTCTCTAAAATTGATTTAAATTGATTTAAAATGTAAATCAATTTAAAATTTAAAATATTTCCAATAGAAAAGCCAATGATTACCTAGCAATGATCACCAAAGAACAGGAAATAATTTACGATCACTGAAAAGAGATTTTTTTGAAGATACGAGTGAACCCGCATATTGATTTTAATCAAAAAAAATGTCGAAAAAGAGGATTTACATTGTTTACTGGACGATTTCTCTTGAAAGAGTGAATCTCGGTCAATAAAATTGTACACTTTTGACTCGAGCTCACTGATTTGAGTTCGAATCAAACTTCAAACTCTTTTAAATTTCAAAAAAAACAAACAAAAACTTCCTGTTCGCTTCGGGAAATTGAGTGATTGATGTTTTAAAAAAAGTCAACAACGATATGTAAAGTTAAAATTACGCTTAATCTTTTCCAAGGAAAGTAAAAATAAGTGAAATTGATATAAAAATTCAACAATGCCTCATTGCCAATTGTAGCATTGTAGCATAAACCAGTGTCGAGAAAAACGCCTTCAAAGTTAGACTACGCAACACTCCGAACCGTCATTATGGGGATGGGATTCTATTACAGTATTTACGGTAACTAGATTTGAAATCAATCATTTGATTTGATTTGAAATCAATCATTTGATCTAATTCAAACCAAATCTAGATAGATTTACCGTATTTTCTCTAATAGTAGTGCACCCAGAGCGTTGCCCCAATTCCTCGAAATCTCGAGAATCGCTTATCAGAACCTATCGATGTGGGGTCGGAAAATGTAGTTGACGATGAGATTTCGTGGGGGCTTAGAGTATTGAGCTTCTGTGAAAACTTCGAAACTGTAAAATAGTCATCAACTCGGCGGGATGCACTACGCGGGCTTGGCGGAATGCACTGTAATTAGAGATAATACGGTAAATGAGATAAAAATTCAATGTGAAATGAGACTAGGTGGGTGAAAGGGGTTTAGCACTCGCGAAAAAAAGAGCCGCTCACTTCACATAAATTTGTCTTTTAAAGATCCCTTAGTTCGTAAACGGACGTAACATACCATATTTTCTCTAATAGTAAATCCCTGAGCGTTGCCTAAATTCCTCGAAATCTCGAGAACCGCTTATTAGAATCTATCGATGTGGGGTCGGAAAATGTAGCTGACGATGAGATCTTGTGGGGAATTAGAGTGTTGAGCTTCTGTGAAAACTTAGAAACCGTAAAATAGTCACCAACTCGGCTCGCCGGGGTACCCTATTATTTGGGAAACTACGGTAATCTTCTTTCCTCTTTAAAAAGTAGAAAATATCCTATCTTTTAGATTTTTAGAGTTTGACTTTTCATTTAAAAACCTCTTGTCATATTAGATTTTAAAAATTGAGTAAATGAATCAGAAAAAGAACTTAAAGAGCTTTTAAACATAAAAGTTTCTAAAGAATCTGACTTTTAAAAACAAAACAAAGCAAAACTTGAATTTGAATAGCTGAGAATCATTTCAAAATCCATCTAATACTTTTAAAAGTCGATTAAACTATGAAATTTCTCCCCCTTTTAAATCCCCAAATAAAAAAAAAAACCCACCCCCAAAAAACCCCAACCCAAAAAAAAACCAAAAAACAAATCCTATACAAACTTGAACTCAAGATTTGTCTCAATTTTTTTTGCCACTTATCTTTGAAAACGTTTAAAACAAATGTAAAAATGAAAATTGAATGAATCAAATGAATGATTAGATGATCAGAATATTTATTTATTTATTTTCTTTGCGGAAAATGACAAGAAAACATAAAGCTCCATTGATTTGTGTTCGAATTCCAATTATCCTGACAACCCATTCTGTGTGAATGGTGGAATTGGGGCTGGCGGTGGCGGTGGAGAGAGATTTGATGGAGGGGATTGATTCGATGAGAAAGGAGGTGATAATGGTTGGGGAAATGAGGATTGGGATTGCGGAAATGGAGTTTCACGTTGCTGGGGTTGGGTCTGAAGTTGATTTATTGTATAGATTTGAAAGTGCACGTTAGATTAATGCAAGTTAGATCGTAAAAACTCTTTCGCTGAAACGTGGGCTCAATCATTGAGCTGATGCTTGGTCTTTTGGCCAAAAAAAGTCAATTTTGTGGTTTTTCTTTGTCAAAGAATAAGGGTTTCATGGTTTTTTGTGAGAAAAATCATTTTTGGTGTATCCAGCACAAAGACTACGGCTTATTTTACCACTTTAAAGTGGAAAAAGAAGAAAATATTGAAGAATCAAGACATGGACGCTACAAACTACAAGATCAAACTACAAACGCTTGTAGAAACGCGTAGAATGGCTATTTTTCAAAGCTGTTTTTTACCAAAAAATCAAGCGAATTTTGAGCTTTTGAATGATACAAAGATTAGGCCAATTCACGATCTCTGCGCTGAAATATAACGTTTTTTCTAGGTTTGTAGTCTTATCTCATGGAATAAGACTACAAGCCTAGAAAAACGCTATATTTCAGCGCAGAGATCGTGAATTGGCCTAATCTTTTATATCATTCAAAAGCCCAAAATTGGCTTGATTTTTTGTTTGAAACAGTTTTTAAAAATAGTCATTCTATGCGTTTCTACAAGCGTTTGTAGTTTGTAGTTTGTCTACTTCGAACGCTTGTAGTTTGTCTACTTCGAACGTTTGTAGTTTGTCCCATGTCTACTTCGAACAATTGAAAACCGAATCAATAAACAATATGGAACGTGCAGCGATCATTTTGACAGCAACATCTACACAAAGAAATAACCTTTAGAAGCCCGTCATTTCAAAAATATTTGTTTTAAAACCATTGTTTTTGAATATCTTGATGAAGAAAAAAAGGGGAAAGGTAAAATTATTCAAAAGACAACGAAATTGACTTTTTTTTGGATAAAGATCATTTCAAGAACACTTTCAAGAACGTTTCAAGAACGTTTTCAAGAACCCCACTATCCGATTTGATCAACTCACTGGGTTTTGAAAGGTGGGCGCTTGCGGGAGAGTCGTTGGTTGAGGTGTGGTTGTGGTGACGGCCATTCCACCGGCTGAAACTCGAAGCAATTCAGAATTTACAGTTTTTATAAGCTAAAGCTTTTAGTATAATCAATAACATCATGTATCCTTTTGTTTTTTAAAGATTTCAAAGCAATGCAAGTAAGTCCTTTGTTGAGTAGCTCAATCTTGATACATTTCTATAAAGAAACCAGCTCTTAGTTTAATTTTTGATTTAGATTTTACTTAATAAAAATCCTTACCATTCTTGATGAGATTTGCCACCATTCCCTTGTTATTTCTGTCAATGATTTGTCTTTCAAAAGTCACCGTTCCATTCGGATGCGTTTTCTTGACGATCACGACTCTGAAATTGGTTTTGGTTTAAATCTATTGATTTTAAACATTAAAATGATTGGTTTTAAGGTTAAAATGATTGGTTTAAACGTTAAAATTATCGATTTAACATTAAAATAATCGGTTTTGACGTTAAAATGATTGGTTTAAACCATAAAATGATCGATTTAACGTTACAATGATCGGTTTAAACATTAAAATGATTGGTTTAAATGTTAAAATGATTGCGTTTAAGGTTAAAATGATTGGTTTAACGTTAAAATGATCGGTTTTGACACTAAAATGATCGGTTTTGACGTTAAAATGATTGGGTTTAACGTTAAAATGAACGATTTAACGTTAAAATGATAGATTTAACGTTAAAATGATTGGGTTTAACGTTAAAATGATCGGTTTAAACCATAAAATGATCGATTTAACGTTACAATGATCGGTTTAAACGTCAAACCGATCATTTTAAACGTTAAAATTATCGGTTTTGACGTTAAAATGATTGGGTTTAAGGTTAAAATGATCGGTTTAAACGTTAAAATGATTGGTTTAAACGTTAAAATCTATTAGTTTTCAAGTTGCTCAGATAAAGTGCTTTTCAAAGAGCTTCTACTGAATTCTTTATCAGCTTATAAAAAGCAAAATCATTTAAAATAAAAAAGGGAAAAGCTCTGTAGGCTTTTATGTAGTCAGAATATCACAGACAAGCAGAATAAATGTTAAAATATAAGCTTAACAGGTAAAAAGAAGTACAACAGTAGAAAATGAGCCTAAATTCGCTTTCAGAATTACTTTGTACTCAAAAATGTAAACAAATCTTTTTTTTTGAACTGAATTTTTGATTTTCCTTAGCAGCAAGATTTAGTGCACTGGACAAGATGTATTTCCATTTTAAGTACAAAGTATTGGGTTGTCCAGTTATGGATGCGCGTTTTTTACTTTTTTGTAAATTTCTCAAGATACTGGAATCAAGAAAAAGATATATGTGAGTATTATTCGAAAGCTGAAGATCTCCTCTACATTTTGATATAAAAAGTTTTTTGAATTTGTTCAGCTTTTGGGCAAATTGACTGCACAGAAGAAGAGGTGGCCAAAAAATGGAAGGGTGCCTTTGGGTCAAGTTTTGGCCCCGCTCAAATTGGGTTAACCGTTTGATGTTTGGCCAATAGATATATCAATACAACTCTTTTTAAAAATATAACAATTTCAGAGCATCTTTACTTTTGTTTTCTATTCTGGGTGGTTATTTTACACCATAAAACTTGAGGAATAGCTAAGCTGGAATGGGTTTTTTTTCGAAAACGACCTCTCCCTTTGTGCAGTCAATTTCCCCAAAAAGTTGAATGAATTCAAAAACTTTTTTATTCCAAAATGTAGAGGAGATCTTCGGCTTTCGAATGATATATAACACTCATATAAATCTGTTCGATATCTTGAGAAATTTAGCTAAGCTGGAATGGGTTTTTTTTTCGACAACGACCTCTCCCTTTGGGCAGTCAATTTCCCAAAAAGTTGAATGAATTCAAAAACTTTTTTATTCCAAAATGTAGCGGAAATCTTCGGCTTTCGAATGATATATAACACTCATATAAATCTGTTCGATATCTTGAGAAATTTACAAAATAGTAAAAACGCGCATTCATAACTGGACAACCCAATAGTTTCTGAACGACTTACCAATCTTTACTAAGCTAATCAAGCTTAGTAAAGGTTGGTAAGTCGTTCAGAAACTTTCTGAGAAAAGTTATTGTAAGGAAAAGCTGGGAAAAGTTGGGAAAAGTTACCGTAATCCGTAATCAATGAAAATACGGTTTTGATAGGCATTTTTAGGAAAACGTTGACTCAATAAGAGTTTAGTAGAAATTGTGAATAAGTTGTTCAATCGTTTTTCATCGTTTCCTCATTTCCTTCACTCGTTTCCTTCACTTCTTGATCTCTTCAATGCCCGCAATTCTCAGCCATCCATTCAGCGCATCGATCGGCTCTTTCCCCTCAACATCCCAACGTCCATTCCTCGTGATCTCTGTCCCATTCGGTGCCACCACCACCAAATTCGGAATCATTCGCAATCCGAAACGTTTCGATAGACTCCCGATTAATTTATCTTTAAATGGTAAACGAGGCCAATCTCCATGCGAATCGCTCATGTACTTTTCCATTTCATCCTCCTTTTTATCATATGGTGCCCAAATAATCTCGATTTTCCCTGTTGATTTCACTGCTTCATAGAAAGCTTTAAGTTTTGGGGTGAAGATCAAACAATGATCGCACCAATGTGCCCCAAAATAATAGCCGATCAATTTCCCCTCCAAATCGGCGAGAGAAAACTCGGTGCCATCTCTTCGAAAGAGTTTCTTCTCGTGCAACTCCATCGGCACCGCCAAACTGCAAAAAGGCAATGGGAAAGGAAAGAGAAAATATTAGAATCGTATTGTTAGAAGTTGTTTGTTTGTTTGTTTGTTTGTTTGTTTGTTTGTTAACCCTTAACTTTATCAATCTCAAAACTCAAAGATTTCCAACAAGAAATCGGCGCTTTTTAGCTTCCCTATCCAGCTTTTCTCATGGATTTTAGTGTTTGAGAAAAATGATGTTTGAGAAAAATGAATCCAGCTGTATTTTGGAGATCAAATAGTAATACACGAACTTCTAAAGGTCGATCGTATCTAGCCAAATGAAGCCTAGCCTATTATCTAGTTATCAAGACTGCTCTAATCAACTATTAGCTGCAATGATTTTAAGCAATCTTGCTTCTAATCATTGCAACGAATTTCAAACCATAGTTAAGCCTTCTTCTTGACTTGAGACGATTTCCCTGTAAAATCTTGCTTACCTCATAAAAGCGCCTTTCCGTTTCTTCTCTGCTTCGGCTGCAGCAACGGCATCAACAGTTGTTGTGGCTGTTGTAGTTGTTGTGGTTGTTGTGGTTGTCGTAGTGGTAGTTGTTGTAGTTGTAGTTGTTGTAGTAGTTGTTGTAGTCGTAGTTGTAGTAGTTGTTGTGGTTGTTGTTGTCGTAGTTGTTGTTATTGTTGTCGTAGTTGTTGTCGTCGTTGTCATCGGCTAAAATACCTTTTCATTTCTTCTGTTAGAGATCGTAAGTTTTTACTTTCCATCTCTGACTCTTGCAACCTTTCAACCAAATTTTTCTTGAGCTATTTGGGTAAACGTTTTATTAGGATTATGAAACATTTGATTGCTAATGGAAAAAGGGGCGGGGCTTAGGGGCTTATATACGCCCCCGCCCCTTTTGCCATTGCCATAACTTTGAGCTCAAATTTTTTGGTGCTAGTGCGTCCAATTTAAATAGTTTTTCTACCAATCGACAGAGAAAGACTTGGCGCATCTAATGATATCAAGAATATTGAAATTGGATAGCCCAACACCAAGAAATTTGAGCTCAAAATTAGATTGCTAATGGGAAAAGGGACCGGGGGCGTCTCAGATGTTGATAGCCTTTTTTAGGCCTTAAATAACATTAAACACAACTAATCCTAGAAACGAATGGCTCATTTGCTCACGGCAATCATGCCTATTTTCAAAGTTCTAAGCTTTTACAACAAATTTCTTCTATAGTACCCTTATTAGAATGGTTCAGCTCTGCTCTGGCTTAGGCTTAAGCTTAAAATATCTGTAATAGTGTTCAATCTCTATTGTTGTAGCTCTGTAGTATCAAAATCTGTTATGCATTTTCAAAAAATCAAACTGTGAACCTTTCACCTTCAATCAAAATCCTTTATTAATAGTCAAGAGAGGAAAAAGGAGCACAGAAGAAAAGGAAAAACATTTTGGTGAGAATTTTTGGGATAATCATTGAAGGAGAAACGTTCACGAATCGATTTTTGCGATGATTTGTTAAAAAGAATATAAAAGCCAAACAAACCCGGTGTCAAAGTGTTATCAAATGGAAATTTAAAAGCTATTGAAGTCAATTTAAAAGCTATTGAAGCCAAGCCTGAGAGCTAAAGATACTGTAATCTCAGTCTAAGCTTCAGCCTAAGCCTAAGCTTCAGCCTAAGCCTAAGCCTAAGCCTCAGCCTAAGCCTAAGCTTCAGGCTAAGCCTAAGCCTCAGCCTAAGCCTAAGCCTAAGCAACCGTAACCTCAGCCTAAGCCTTTAGCGTAGCCTTTCTAGAACTTTTAGCTTAGGTAGAGAGCTTTTAGCTAGAGATTAGTGTAACTTTTCTGGACATTTTTCTAGAAAATAATCAGATAACTCTTTGGATCTAGGCCCTGAACTACAAGAGAAGGTTTATTGTAACTCATTGACTACTTTGACTAGTTGTGGGACTTGTAGTATCTTGTTGTGCGGATTCTACGGGTGCACTCGTTGCTTCAATGATATCTGGTGGTTGGGTAACCTCAGTGGCGTTGAGATGAGGCACAAACGGAGTGGCTGCTTGCTTCACATCAGCGGCGAACATTGGGCCCATCGGTGGCTGGGGGAGCATCGGCTGAAATTAATTATTTGCAATCATTCTCTCTTCAAATAATGATCTACCATTCGTAGATCGATGCAAAGCGTTTAATTTAAAGATTGAAAGAATGTTGTGACATTGTGTAACTCATTAACTCACCATTGCCGCTCTGTTGTACGAGTTGACGGGCAGAGCCTGAGCTACCTGAAATTTTCTCTTAATCAAGTGAAAAGATACATTAACTCTTTCAAAAGACGACAATTTTCAATTTTCAATTTAGAAGCTACAGTTTAAAGTCAAAATTACTGGGATTTTACAGGTCTTTGTAAAACTCTAGTATAACTCTTTATTTACTGTAAAACCTCTAGAACCTAGCTTATCTTCATTTACCATATTCTCTAGTAGTAGTGCATCCCGCCAAGCCCACGTAGTGAATCCCACCGAGTTGATGACTATTTTACAGTTCCTAAGTTTTCACAGAAGCTCAACACTCAAATCCCCCACTAGTTCTCATCCTCAGCTACATTTTTCGACCCCACATCGATAGGTTCTGATAAGCGGTTCTCGAGATTTCGAGCAATTTAGCACTCAGCAACACTCACGGTGCACTACTCTATTAGAGAGAATACGATAAATAGTTTTTTCTATTTTCCACCCAAAACAGCAAACTGATGGTCAAAAAACTTACTAGAGGCACTACAACGGGGGCCACCGGTTCAGGCTCGGGTTCAGGCTCCGGGCAACTTTGCGGTTGTTGCGCGTATCCTAAACAGATCATTATTTTCGGACTCAACCCTTTTCTACCTCCTTGACCAAAGCTATGCCCAGTGGCACCAACGGCGTAACCGAAAAAACAAGCACTTTAAAAATAAAGCCACACAAGCAGAACTGAAAGCTTTTCCACGAAATCCCAACCTGACATCGGCATTCCGCCGGCCATTGGGTACTTTGGACTATTCCGACCGCAACCCGAGTTGTAAGCGAGGTTGAAACTGAAAGCTTTAAGCAGTTGGACACAGTTTACAGTTATATTCCACGATTGGTTACAGTAACATTCTCTCGCCTTACAGTACCCTTTTCCTGGCTTTAGAGTATCCCTTCCTGGTTTCATAGTATTCTGTACTCTTTCCCTGGCCTTGCAATACATTTTTCTGGCTTTTGGATTAGATAAAGTAGCTGGTTAGGTACTTTTCCGAAAGTAATATTCCTTCTAGTTCGATCCAGCTACAGTACTTAAACAATTATTACTTTGAAGCTATCTCGAAGACTCATAGTCAGTCTCTAGTTACAGTAGTTCAAACTTACAGTACTCACTTAGGTTACAGTACCTCAGCCAGACTGACAAGGGAATGTTTTAAACTTAAGGTGAAGGATTTGATCGGCATAGTGATAGAAAAGGTATTTCGAGTGGAGAATCCAATGCTTTATTTAGTTTTTGCGAAAGCCCTTTAGTTGTCGAGAAAAACGTGAGAAACTGACTTTTGTAAGCCTGAATATGTAAAATAATTGTCAATGTACAATTGAAAGTTCATAAGAAGTATTTTAAAATGTTTTGCAAAAGAAAGCAAAAAGTTTATCGCCGAGCGGATTCGAACCCGTGGGCAAAAAGAAAAATTGAGGTTGAGGACCCGCACATTTACCATTACACCAACCAGTCACGCTTTGATGGAAGGGAAAGAGCCGTTATAAATCAGCATCTCTGCCAGTAGTACCCAAATTTGCGACACGTTTTCCTCGAAAACTAAAGGGTTTTCGCAAAAACTAAATACAGCATTGGATTCCTCACTCGAAATACATTTTCTATCACTATGCCAATCCAATCCTTCACCTTAAGTTTAAACGATTCCCTTGTCTCTCAACTGTCAGTCTCTTACACTAAAGAAAAGAGTCTTCAGTCTTGAATCTTCTGGAAACCGAACAGCTCTAGAAGATAACCAGTATTGAAATGACACCATAATCAGAGAAATAACATTGGAACTTTACAGCAACTCTTTCAACTCACTTCAAGTTCATGCTTGTTCTGGCAAACGGATTGTATCCGACGGGAATCGGCTCTGGATGAGGCTCGGGTCGTGGCCCGGGATAGACACCTCCTGCATAGGGTTGAGCCATATACCCACCACCCGCTCCCATCGCTGTCATTGGGGACATTCCACCCCAACTATTTGACCAAGTATTTGCGAAACCGTTACCCTACAAACATTTCTCAATCTTCAATTTAAATTCAAACAAAATTTCCACCTGAGATTGCTGTTGTTGTGTCCGCAAGACGCTTTCTGTCATGATCTTCAATTGATTGAGAATTGCGGGTAAAGAGGCGATCTCTTGAGCGCTCATTCCACCAGACACTGAAGGAAAATGACTGAAGAAAGTCTCTTTTGAGGAAAAAAATTCAAAATTGACCCTATAAAGCTTAGTAGCATGAACTTAAAGTTAAAGTTTACTTGGCATTCCGACCATTGGAGCAACTCCGGCTACTCCAACTCCTGGCATCATTCCAACTCCAGCCAGAGCTGCTAGTGGCACTTGTCTGACTCTTCGAAATGTCTCCCTATCAGCTTCTCGATTCAAAAATTCCTCGAAACTCATTTCCAACGGTGTTCGCTCATTTTCTTCACTTGAAACGGGAAGCTTTTCCTGAAATCTCTCTTCATTGCTTAACTTATTCACTTCTAACATTTGCCAATCGCTTAAAATGTTGATAGTTTTGATTTGAGAGCTTTGAGAAAAGATTTGAAATTTGAGAGTTGACTATGAGAGAGATTTATCGGTGATTTTTCAGTTTCAGCTTTCGAAATGGAGAAAATAAAGTTTAGTCAGAGTTGAGAGAGAAGAAATTGAGAGAAAAACATTGCAAAACTAGCTAAACAGTTCCAAAAAGACTTTCAAAAGCAAATTTCCAAGATCAAGCAATGATTTGGTGACAATGAGACCAAGGTTCAGGCCTGGTGGGTCCAGAGTGGACTTTTATCTGTCGATCTCTTTGCCGTTGACAATTTAAGGTTTTTTTGTGTTTTTCGCAACACCAATCCTTTTATTTTGACTATTTTGACTAAGATTTGATGTAGAATAAAATTCCTCGTCGAATGATACCAAAATCAACTCAAAATGTAATATCTAGGTCAATTTATTGGTCAAAAACCTAAACCTCGTCCATAATGGGCAGGGCTTAACCTTTTGTCTTATAACTTTGCATGCATATTAAATTTTGAGTTAATTTTGATATCATTCGATGCGAAATTTTATTCTGCATCGAATGATAATCAAAATAGTCAAAATCGATGGGTTGGTGCTGAGAAAAAGACGAAAAACCTTAAATTGCCAACGGCAAAAAGGATCGACAGATGTTTACGTTACAAGTTTAGTCCAGAGGTTATTTATGAGCCAAATATACAGCAAAGCCAGACTAGTACCTGATCCTGGCTTAAAAACTTGTCTTTGAGACAATCTCGACAAGATTAGAGCAGCAAATTGGTCAGACAAGGTCAACGAGAACAATTTAACGTTAAACTCACCAAAACTATTGACCTCGATATCGTCAAAAACGTAATGAATATGGAAAGTCTCCACATTTTTAGAAAAATAATGAATAATAATAGCCAAGTTTCTCTTAATAAACTTGAATTTTTCCGGGTTCAGCCTGGGCGAAGAAAAAGACGTAGCAAAGTTATTTCAACTGGGTTCGCCGATTTTCCAATTTTCCCAGTCTGCTTATCTTGTGCTTATCAGTAAAAATTTTTTGGAAAAGGAACGGCTCAAAAGTTTTCCTTTACTGTTTTGGGGATTTTGACGAAAATCTTGGTATCCCAAAAAAATGCGATAAGAAACGAGTCGTTCCGTCCCGAAATCGTCCTACCACTGACTTGACACTTTTCATCCACAAATAACTCAGCTGAAAGAAATACTTTTAAACTAGATGATCAATATTGACCCAGCAACAAGTAGACTGAGGTCTTCAAAGTCTTTAAAGTGTACTTTACGCTTAAAAGTGTGAAGAGCTCTCTGCCTCGATCTTCCTTTTCTACCACTTTCTACAATACGAAGTTAGCCTACCAGAATTAGGAAAAGTGTTCCAGAGGTTGAATTCTAAAGCTTTCCATTGTTGAAAGTTTGTTCCATCCATTCCATTGTTCATCCAACTGAATTGAAGCAAAATTTGAAAAATCAAAAATAATTTGCGTTCGGGGGGAATCGAACCCCCGTCGAATGCTTGGAAGGCATCCATGCTGACCATTACACCACGAACGCTTGTTTGGAGGGGTGAAATGGGAGGCATAAAAGGATGGATAACCGGTTTCCGATTCCTTTTCCAGATTCCCTTAAGCAAACCCAGCCTTCTTGATCCCCCAATTCATCCCCACAAAACATGCGTTCGTGGTGTAATGGTCAGCATGGATGCCTTCCAAGCATTCGACGGGGGTTCGATTCCCCCCGAACGCAAAATATTTTTTCTTTTTAAAAACAGAACTGGATTGAGGTTTTAACTATCAAATCGAACTTAACTTCACTTTTGAAGCCTTCAGAAACAAAAAAAATTAGACTTTGGCAAAGAGTTTTTGTTTTTTTTGCTAAAATCTTTCAATAAGTCTTCCAGAACCTGTAACTTTGACGGATCCGTAAATACCAGTTTAGACAATTGTGCTCAGTTTTCAGAAGTATAATAGAGTAATAGAAGATTACAGCAAAGATAAGCAATATCCATGGCTGAATTCTAAAGCTTTCCCTTGTACAGATCTGGGTTCAAGCAAAATTTGAAAAGCAAAAAGATCTTTGCGGAATCGAACCCCCGTCGAAAGCTTGGAAGGCATATTTGCTAAAAATCGGGAATTTCTTATTTTTTATGCTTTTAGGTTGCAAAATCTCTTCAAAAGCAAACTTTTGATGGGATTATTTATCTCTTCAATGGATTACTCAAAAATGTAAACAACTTTCCTAAAAGAATTTCAACTTTTTACTTACTCTCAATTTTTCTCTCAAACTTTATCGCAAAGATTGCAAAAAGCGATATGAGAGATTTTTCTCGAAAAAAATGGCGGAATCAAGGGGTGAAGGGTGAAAGATTTCCGATCTCTCTAAAAATGGAGAAAATATCTATCTTTTTATATTAAAAACCCGCAAAACTTCCCGCTTGTTTATTGTTAACTGTTTTTTGAATGAAAGGTATAGATGAATTGTTGTTTTCTGTCTTTGTCAAACCTAATCCCAAGCCTAAACCCAGCCTAATCCAGAAAATGGGGGTTCAGCCTAAATCCAAATAGACTTAGTCCGAGGCGCTAGCCGATAGCCTTCGAACTGAGTCCAAGCCTAAGCCTAAGCCTGAGCCTAAGCCTAAGCCTAAGCCTAAGCCTAAGCCTAAGCCTAAGCCTAAGCCTAAGCCTTTACTACTCAGTTTACTCAATCATACGAGTTAGGAGTTCTTTACGGGGATTTCTTTGATAAGTATACTTTTTGTAGGTTTCAATTAAGTTCTAGAACTATAAGCTACAAAATCTAGAACAAGTAACGGTAAGCCAATCTCAAGAACGAGTAATCGTAAGCCTACAACCGTAAGAAGAAAGCCTAAGCCTAAGCCTAACCAGAAATCGGGGGGTGACCCCAAACCCAAATAGACTTAGTGCCAGGCGCTAGCCGTTAGCCTTTGCACTATGTCCAAGCCTGAGCCTGAGGCCCAATCTTGGCTTCTAGTGGCCTGCAAGCAAGCCAACCCATAGCCTAGCCAAGACCAAAAAAATTGCTTCGAGAATAACTCTGATCTTCTTTTTGTTAACTCTGTTCTCTTACATCCGTTTCTCGATCCTTAGACATACTCTTAATCGTATCAGGCAAGAATCTAAATTCAGACAACTATCTGAACTTTGATTTTACCTCTCCATGCCAAGAAATTAACTTAACTAGATTAGATCAAGCTAAGTTCGTTTAGACAACTGATTTCATAACTTAACTAGATTAGATCAAGCTAAGTTAATTCAGATAAATATCTGAATTTCATCTTCAGGTACTTACTAGTAAGCTTCTAGAAATTTTGATATGAAAAAGACAATAAGGTTAGGAAGAAAATAGCCATATTCATTACTGAAGTAGTGTTTTTTGTTCTTCTTCCAAAAATATCTCAAACCTATTTGGCAAATTCATTTCTTTGAAGGTTCCTCGTTTGTTTTTTTGACGATCATCTTTGTCTTTTTCTTTAATGAGTCATTAAAAATCTCTTTTTTCTCAGTTTTTTGATATCCGGTATTTCAAAATAGGGGAAAATTCGTCACAAAACAATTCTTCTAGTGACAATATAAAGGTTTCGATAAGTACAAATACTAAGCAAGATCTGAACTTTGAAATCTTTAATGAAACTTTTAAAATCTTGTCAGATTTTTATTAGAATTGTTGCTTTTCTTACTTTTGTTATTTGAAATTGTTAGATTTTACTTTTCGAAAAGATTTTTAAGAATAAAACTTGTTTAGTTGGTAGTTTTAAAGTATTAGATTAAGCTTTTGCTAGATCTAATCTAGCTAAGTTAGTTTCTTGGCATGAAGAGGTAAAATCAAAGTATTCAAGTATCTAACATAAATCTATTGTACAGCTCCAGTTGCTTTCCAGTTTTCCAGCATCTTTTGACTTCAATTGAAAGGTTTAATGGATGAATAATGCGAAATTTTAGCCAAATTTTAGTCAAATGTTACCATGGAAATTCACGTTTTGTTTTGCATCACAAAATTGAGCTAAAGTTTATTCACAGACTCTCAATCTTGCAAACTCACCTTTGTACACTCTAGTCTTATTTTTGATTCTTAAAAACTTGAATTCTCTTATTTAATTATTTCCAGATGTTCACCCAAACTGTGATCCTTTTCGTCTCACTCGTTGCCTTGACATCAGCCGGTCAACAAGCCGTTTCTGTTGAGGGAATGGTAACCTGTAATGGATCACCGTACAAAGATGCCAAAATCAAGATCTATGAGTTGGACACGTGTGAGTAAAACTATAATACTGTAGCACTGGGATACTGTAGTATTTTGTTCAATAGAAGGACTTGGAAGATATTTAGTCTCTCGGTAATAATGAGACAAAAAAGGCTTACTTTAAAGGCCCCTTAAGCAAACGCAAAAATCATTTGCGTTCGGCGGGAATCGAACCCCCGTCGAATGCTTGGAAGGCATCCATGCTGACCATTACACCACGAACGCTTGTTTGTAGGGGTGAAATAGGAGGCAGAAAAGGATGGATAGCCAATTTCTGGTTCCGTCTCCAGATTGCCTTAAGTAACCTCCAGTTGCCAGCTTTCTTCATCCTCCAATTCATCACCGAAAAAGATGCGTCTGTGGTGTAATGGTTAGCATGGATGCCTTCCAAGCATTCGACGGGGGTTCGATTCCCCCCGAACGCAACCATTTTTGGTTTTTCGTAAAATTGGCATTTTTACTATCAAATCGAACTTAACTTCAATTTCCAAGTCTTGACAAACAAAAAATTACAAACTTTGGCAAACAGTTTTTTGTTTTTTTGCAAAAATCTTTCAATAAGCCTTCCAGAACCTGTAACTTTGACGGATCCATAAATGCTGGTTTACTAGTTTACTAGAGGTTTACTAGGTCTCCTTAGTTTTCAAAACTGTAATAGAAGATTACAGCAAAGATAAGCAATATCCATGGCTGAATTCTAAAGCTTTCCCTTGTACAGATCTGGGTTCAAGCAAAATTTGAAAAATCAAAAACAATTTGCGTTCGGGGGGAATCGAACCCCCGTCGAATGCTTGGAAGGCATCCATGCTGACCATTACACCACGAACGCACATTTTTCGGGGATGAATTGGGGATAAGAAGGCTGAGGTGCTTAAGGCAATCTGGAAACGGAACCGGAAACCGGTTATCCATCCTTTTGTGCCTCCCATTCGACCCCTCCAAACATGCGTTCGTGGTGTAATGGTCAGCATGGATGCCTTCCAAGCATTTGACGGGAGTTCGATTCCCCCCGAACCCAAACAACTTTTGCTTTTTTGCAAAAACCTATTGATTCTTCAGGAAACAAATTTGTTTTTGCTTTTACTTGACTCTTTATCCATATTTAGTGCATGATGATGAGTTGGCTCGTACTTTTTCGAATGCCGATGGAAAGTTCCGCTTGGGTGGATCACAGAGTGAACTCGGCGGAATCTCGGCTCAACTGAATATCTATCACAAGTGTGAGATGCCTTTCGTAAGTTTTTTCGTACCTTTTCCAAAAAATTCCGGCAAAACGGGCCTTGTTCCTTGTTTTTTTGAGTTCTCCGAGCCACTAAAGCTATATCATCAAAAACTAGAGCTCAGGTAAAGCTAGATCAGGTAAAATCAAGCTTTCATTAGTTCCCAAGCTAGATCTAGGACCAGCAGAAGCCAGGGTTTGACCCAGGTTTAGGCCTAATTCCAGTAAAGTCAGACCAAGCCAGGAAATTGTTTTCCAAACACCTAATAGCAAGCTTTAAATCGCAATTCAATTCATAATACTCCATGAATCATCAAGAAGATCAAGATTTAATAAATCATCATTAAATTCAGTACAAGAAAGTTCTCCCAATGTGCTACTACAAAGCGACTTTCCCAATCCCGACTCGATACTTGCAATCGGGATCCGTTTCTGAGGTGAGACCGAGAAAAAGTGCCATTAAAAAGCTCAAAAATTACAGAATATCCATTTCTACAGTATACTTTGACTATAAAACTATATTTTAACCAAAAAAAATATTCAGTTGACACTATCTTTTTACAAAATTACCACATTTCAATTGTTTTACGATCAGTTTATCCACCATTTCAGCCCTACAACGTGCAAACGATCGAGCTCTCGCTGCACGCGAAAGGATACGATTGCATCAATCGTAGAAGATAAACTTTTACTTTTAAGAAATCTTTCTCATTTTTAAACTTAAACTTAAATAAACTTTTACAACTTGTTGCTTGATCTTTTCCTCGAATTTTGCTGAAATTCTCCCCATTCAATCACCTTCAAAAATCACATGTATGACCTTCAAAAAAGCAGGTGAAACGACTGAAAATCGCACAAATTGAGGTATTTTTCTTAAAGATTTACTTGCATATTGCTTTTCTTTTTTACAATGTTCTATTACACTTTTGAAAACGGAGTACAATTGTTTATAATGATATTTGCGGATCCGTCAAAGTTACAGGTTCTGGAAGGCTTATTGATAGACAAAAACCTTTTGCCAAAGTATACCTGTTTTGCTTGTGAATTTGTGAAAACTTAAAAAGTGAAATTTAGTTGGATTTGATAAGAAAAACCTCAATCCAATTCTGTTTTTAAAAAACAAAAATCATTTGCGTTCGGGGGGAATCGAACCCCCGTCGAATGCTTGGAAGGCATCCATGCTGACCATTACACCACGAACGCATGTTACCAGGGCAGAAATGGGAAGGAGAAAAGGATGGATAACCGGTTTCCGATTCCGTTTCCAGATTGCCTTAAGCAACCTCAAGCTGACAGCCTTCTTGATCCCCCATACATCCCCGAAAAACATGCTTTCGTGGTGTCCAAGCATTCGACGGGGGTTCGATTCCCCGTCGAATGCTTGGAAGGCATCCATGCTAACCATTAAACCACAAACCCAAGCTTTGAGGACTGAAATGGAAAGGACAAAAGGATGGAAAAGCAAAAGAAACAAAGGTTTTACGCTTCCGGTTTGCAGAAGCCTCCTTTACCGTCTAATTCATTCATAAAACATCCCTTCTAATGTACTAAATTTTATGAGTACCGTTTGTTCAAAAGAAAAAATATTTTGCGTTCGGGGGGAATCGAACCCCCGTCGAATGCTTGGAAGGCATCCATGCTAACCATTACACCACGAACGCATGTTCTTCGGGGAAGAATTGGGGGTAAGAAGGCTGAGGTGCTTAAGTCAATCTGGAAACGGAACCGGAAATCGGTTATCCATCCTTTTCACCTTCCCATCTCCCCTCACCCCAAAACATGCGTTCGTGGTGTAATGGTTAGCATGGATGCCTTCCAATCATTCGACGGGGGTTCTACTCCCCCCCAACGCAAATTCTTTTTGATTTTTCAAATTTTGGTTGGATTCAGATTTCGTCAATGGAAAGCTTTAGAATTCAGCCTTTAGAACAGTTTTCCTAATAGTGGTCAGGCATTTTCGATTAGTTGTAGAAATTCCCCTGAACGCACCGTAACGAGCTAAAACTGGACCAAAGTAAGGCTTTTTGTCCTATTACAGTATCCAGAGTAAAATGTTCTTCAGGTCCAGGGTCAGGCTACAGTAAGACCTGCTCTGGACCTGGCTATAAACAGTTCAGTATCGTAATTAAACGCTCTACCAATGAGCTAAACCGTACTGTATTTGTGTACTGTACTGTACTGTACTTTGTAGCTCTTTTCAAGCTATCCACTCCAGGCAAACACTCTCTACAACTCGATCTTCACCATCATTCTCATCTCGGAGATAGCCTTACTAACAATCACCACCCTTTTCTATCTTCTCTTCATCAAAATCCTCATCCATTCCGCACAATTCCATCATAATTTGATGAGAATCTTTATCTTTTATGCTCTAATGATGGCAATTCATGGCCCAATTCGTGTCACATTGATGCTCTTCGAAGTGGATTTTCTGAAAATGAAAGAATCTCAGCTGATCGATATGATTTTGGTGTCGTTTAATGAAATTCGGGTTTTCTGTGCGTGCACAGCTGGCTTCATTGTACAAGCGATCATTTGTGAAAGGTGGGAGTAAAGAAACAATATATTGGGTTGGTGAATTGAAAACTGCGCGACTTTGAACTAAAATTTATTCAACATAAAACCATAAATTCATTCCAAATGATTTCCATTATTTTGACGACTTCTACCCATTTTACAGGCAATTCGTGGATTCCTCTTTCGTAGTAGGATTTTGGTTTGTGTGTGAGACAAGTGTGAGACTCAAAAATGGAGGACGCGAGATGTCCCGGTTTGAGCACTTTCTTCAAAAGAAACCCATTTTGGTGTCAATAGAAAAGTTGTAGAGAATCAAAAATTAGGCTTATAGCCAAGTTTCCAAAAAGATACACTTAGTAGTTTCGCTTAAAATGCAAGTTTTGTTGCAAGTTTTGTGAAAATTCATAAATTTGGCATTTCTTGAAAACCAGTTTTTGAATCGTTCTGAAAATTGGGCTATAAGCTTGATTTTTGATTCTCTACAACTTTTCTATTGACACCAAAATGGGTTTCTTTTGAAGAAAGTGCTCAAACTGTCACATATGACAATAGCCCGCAGTTTTCAATTCACCAATCCAATATTTCAGTCTAATTGGCTCGCTACAATAAGCGAGAATAGCTTCAGTATCAGGCTGAATGAATAGCACTTGATTTGTAGATACAGTGATCCTGTAATACAGTAATCCGGCTTACTGTAGGCTACATAGATGCAGTGTATCACTTGTAGCTGGCTAAGCTGGCCAAGCACATTTCTCAACTACAATAAACCAATTCAGCTTAAGTACAACTCAAAATTCACTTGTTGTAGAAAGCGAAAAGCTTATTTTTTATTGAAGAACCGTTTGGTTACAGAATATTTGCCACTTATTATATTTGGCATTACGAGGAAACTGAAAGAGCTCATGTCTCGAAGATCATTCTTGGTGGATGGATCGGAACGGTGATTTCCACGGGAATTGTTGCAACGCTCTGTGAGTTTCACTCTTTCACTGGCTTTTTTGACGATTTCTTTTCAACCTAAAACGTTTTCCCCCAAAATCTTCTTAAAGATTTTCTTAATCTATCGTATTTCAGGGTTCCCGGTGAATCCGGTCAGCTTCACCATCTCCGCCGTCTGCATATACAGCCTCTTTGCCGGGTCTTTATTTGTGGTTTGCGATTTAAAAGCTGGCTATAATTTTTATTGGCTAGGTCTATTGGCGTCTCTGGGTTTACAATCACGATGTCCTTCATGTACTTTCAAAAATGCATTTCGGTGAAGGGCAATACTCACTTGGAGTTCGATTTCAAGTCGAGGAGAACATTCGAGCGATAAATGTAAGAGAAAAGAAAGAGATTTCTAAGAAAAGAAAGTATTTCTAAAGAATTTCTAAAGTAGATTTGTTTTAACAGTGCTTCTAGAGCTAAAACTTCTAGAGCTAAAACTTCTAGAGCTAAAACTTCTAGAGCTAAAACTTCTAGAGCTAAAACTTCTAGAGCTAAAACTTCTAGAGCTAAAACTTCTAGAGCTAAAGCTTCTAGAGCTAAAACTTCTAGAGCTAAAACTTCTAGAGCTGGAACTTCTAGAGCTGGAACTTCTAGAGCTGGAACTTCTAGAGCTGGAACTTCTAGAGCTGGAACTTCTAGAGCTGGAACTTCTAGAAAAGTATTGTTAAGTTAACCAAGATCTTTGTACCAAAAAAAAGTTGTACCACTTGTACCAAAGTTCAATAATGGAGCTAAAATGCGGAAGGATTTGAGCAAAATCGAAAAAGATTTCTGAAACAGGATAAAAGCAACAGTTTAACTGATTTAACTTGTATTTAACAATGATTTAACAGTGAGGATTTTAAAATGAACAAACACCTCTCAGCCCGGATTTACCTGGCAAAGATCAAAGCAGGGTTTTGTTCATTTTTTGTGAGATTTTACCCGTAAACGATGTTCAGAGGCTGGAAAATATCCTTCTGACAAATTTGGTGCAAAAATTTCCCCAATCGCCTTTCAACGTCACTTCAAAAACCCTGAAACTAGGTCGCGTGCCAAGCTAAGTGCGACTCTCAACTTTGAGAGCTTTTTAAAAAATTTATGAGCACCTATCGGTTAGATAATGGGCACCGCTACAGGAGACCCACTCAACATTTAGCTATAAAAATTTTATGGGAATCGGTTAACTTTTGACTGAGCTACAACCTCTAGAGTGAGCATGAGTAATTATGATGAACCCTGTAGATATGAATGACTTGTGTTTTGATTGTACTTGGTGTATCACTATAGATCTGTACCAATAAGGCAAGCTAAGCCAAGCCAAGCCGATCAATCCAAATCCAGTCGTACTACCGTATTGCTAAGTATTGGCAACTTGTAGACCTTGTGCTGGTACCAGTTCCGATCCTGATACCGGACGATAGGTCAGTGATCTTTGATCAAACTCACATTGAATCTAAAAGCCAGTTTTATTCCAGTTTTTTTAAAAAGATAGCTAATCTTTTTGCGCATCTTTTAAGACCAATCACATTCGAATTGGTCGACTAGAGAAACAGATGCGGTGTCTAGAAGTAGGTCATTCACAGTAAGTACTGTGAGTTACTGTGACTGTGACTATGACTTTGGGAGGTCATAACTTTTTTTTCAATTGACCATTTCGAATGGGGTTGGTTTCAAAAGATGCGCAAAGACATCAGCTATTTTTCTTTGAAAAAATTAGCCCGATTGGAGGTCGAAAAGAGGTCGAAAGATGGATTTCGAGGAATAGTCACCTTTTCTTAGTAAAACGAATAGAATAGAATGTAAAAAGTCAAACCTGGCGCACTGGTACAGCGCTGGTACTGGTAATACCAAGTTTATCAACAAAACAAAACAATTTAAGTGATCTCCAAATTCTAAGATCAATCTTTGTTGCTTGAAATCAATAGATTTAAAAAAAAAATACTTTTCCAGCTTCTTCGTTGTTTTATCATTTTTAATATGGTCTTCATTGGTTTCAATTGTTTTTTTACGATCGTCGCTCTCGAAATTTTGGATCCCGAGCAACCTATTGCTCAACTAGCCTTGGCTCTTCTCGATCTTGTCATCGCTGTGTAAGGAATCTTCATTTTCTACATTTTCCTCATTTCCAACTTTTTTTGGGATCTTTTCAATGTTATTCATTAGTTTTTAAAGGCTGGGACAATGAATTTATTAAA